CTTTGTTGATCTTTGATTCAGATATGGGGTGAGCTTTCCTCAGCATCAAATGACTATACATAGTCAATGTTTGATGGAGGCCTCCATGTTACGCTTAAGCTGAGACCAATTTTAGTGTCTCACAATTTTGGTTACATTGACTTGCTATTTGCTTTAGATGTGTTGGGCACGACTATTGTCATTTTGATCGTTGATGAGGATGAGTCTGTTAACAATTTAACAGATTCAATGGACAATATATTTGATTTGGAGTATGATGAAAATGGGGCATCATTTAACTCCTTTCATATCAGCTAAATAAAAGAAAGGGAAACTCAACTGCAAGCATTACATACACAATGATAATAAGAATGTCAGCGGAGCATAAATGAAGGAATACTAATAAAAAAAAATTAAAACGATAGTTTTTATGCCCTCAAGAGTATCATATGTAGAAGGCCAAAAAATGCAATCTTAGATTGGGATCATAGGAGATCCTGCGTGCTTATTAATCTTAAGCATGGCATAGTGTGCTTTACCTTTAACATAAAATAAAATAAAATGCAAACTTATACAAAGATCATAACTGATTCATCATAAAAAAAATTATCTTGATCGGGCACGAATTTCGAGGCAAAATCAAGTTGGAAACTTCCAAAATTAAAATTTGGACCATCCGAACTCCGATTTCAGCAAACTTACAATCGAACTGAACGTCTCAAGAATTCGAACCCAACGACACCAAAATCTACTCAATCCAAGTCCAAATGGGTTCAAAGCAAGGGCCCGAAGCGCTGTTCGAAGGTTCGAACCACAATTTGAATTGCCAAACAATTTCCAAATGTGACATGCTTATAGTCGCATCGAGCGGTTCGACAAGACGAATCCAACGAGCCCAAGATCATGGAATTCCGACATCATTAAGACCTTCAAATGTCTAGTGAACGGTCCACTATCAAGGGATTTAACATCGGCCATCCATCCAAACCACTCCACATTTTCCCTTGATCTTTCACCTATTTACATTCCACGCCACTCTAAGAAATCTATAAATAGAGCCCCCTTTCCTCTTGAAAAGGATCTCCTAAGCCTAAGGAGAAAAGAGAGATCGGAGATCACTCTTGCCTCCTTACCTCCTCAATCGCTGGTCGAAGTTCCGCCGGACCACCACCTAAGGTCTGGTTGTTCTGCCGGACCACCGCCTGAGGCTAGGACTTCTGCTAGACCACCACCTGAGGCCTAAAGTTCTTCTGAACCACCGCTTGAGGCCTTGAGTTCCGTCGGACCACCACCTGAGGTATGGAGTTTTGCTGGACCACCACCTTACGCCTATACTTCTTCCGGACCATCACTTGAGGCCCTGACATCTGCCAGACCATCATCTGAGGCCCTGACTTCTGCTGGACCACCACCTGAGGCTCGAACTTCCGCCATACCACCACTTGAGGCCCGAACTTCCGCGAGACCATCGCCTGAGGCCCGGACTTCCGCCGGACCATCGCCTGAGGCCCGGACTTCCGCCGGACCACCGCCTGAGGCCCGGACTTTTGCCGGACCTTCACCTGACGCCCGAACGGATATGAATCTTGAGGCAAAATCAAGTTGGAAACTTCCAAAATTAAAATTGGAACCATCCCGACTTAGATTTTAGCAAACTTACTGTCGAACTGAACGTCTAGAGAATATGAATCCACTAACACTAAAATCGACTGAATCCGAGTCCAAAGAGGTCCAAATCAAGGGTCCGAAGTAGTGTTGGAAGGTTCGAACCACAATTTGAATTGCCAAACGGTTTCCAAATGTGATATGCTTATAATCGAATCGAGCGGCTCGACGAGACGAATTCAATGAGCCCAAGATCATGGAATTCCGACATCATTAAGACTTCAAATATCTAGTTAACGGTCCATGATCAAGGGATTCAACATCGGCCGTCCATCCAAACCACTCCCCATTTTCCCTTGATCTTCCACCTATTAACATGCCATTCCACTTCAAGAAATCTATAAATAGAGCCTCCTTTCCTCATGAAAAGTGACCCCAAAGACAAAGGAGAAAAGAGAGAGATCGGAGATCGCTCTTGCCTCCTTGCCTCCTCGACCACCGCCTGGATTTCCGCCGGACCACCACCTGAGGCCCGGAGTTCTACTAGAACACCGCCGAGACCCGAACTTTCGCTGGGCCACCACTTGAGGCTTGGAGTTCTGTCGGACCATTGCATGAGGCCCTAAGTTCCGACGGACCACAACCAGAGGCCCGTACTTCCCATGGATCACCACCTGAGGCCCAGACTTCCGCTGGACCACCACCTAATGCTCGAACTTCTGCTCGTCACTAGACTTACACCTGGTCACCTATAGTCCTTCCTACCTCAGTGATCAGATTATGGTCCTTCTGACTTCCATCGTTGACTATTGTCCTTTCTACCTCCGTCTCCCACGAACTACAGTCCCATCGACTACCATCACGCGACTACGGACTTTCCGACTTTCGTCACTTGCCAACTATGATCATGCCAACCAAACAAACATGTCTACGTTGATGATTGTAATTCCCATAGTATAATACACTCTATATGGTGTATATCAAGCCAAGGCCTTCTCCCAAGGGCAGGGCCTCCATTGTAAACGACTGCAAATACTAGTGGATCATTCCAAACTGGACCAGGTCCCATGGTTTTTCCCCCTTTTCAGGGGTTTCGATGTAAAAACTCTAGGGCCTCTTATGAATGTTGCACCATCTATATTTTCTGATTGTGTGTTTAATCTTCGTACAAAGTTAAGACATTAAACTATATATGTTTCTCTACTGCCACGAATATTCCAGGACGCAACAAAAATTAATAAAAAACCAATGGTTCTAAGCAACCTAAATATTGCTACAATACACGAATCTTACCTTACCCGATAAGGAAACTGCCTAAGGCATAAATAAGTTGTTTGCAGTTATACTTAAAATTCATTTTTTTTTTAATACGTAATGTCTATCGGTCTTGCTGCAAATGATAAATTTCCTTGCGTATTCCTTCTTGAAGTAACTATCAAGTCACATGTGAAGACGAGCCTCATTTTAAGCATTAAATGGTAACTAACATGCAATTCAGTGGCTTTAATAATAGCCATGCGTTTTTCCTTAAGGTAAAGGAGTCTACATCCATTTCTTTAGAAAAACCTATCATAATAGGATTTCATCTATTATTTATTTCTCCTTGAATAAAGGATGAAGTCCTGCAAACAGAAGTGTGCAATTCGGTGGCTTTACTAACAGCCATGCGTTTTTCCTCCAGGTAAAGGAGTCTAAATCCATTTCCTCAGAAAAGCCTATCATAATAGGTTTTTAGTTATTATTTACGTATCCCTTGAATAAAGGATGAAGTCCTGCGAACATATGTGAACATTCAAAAAATCAGGGAGACAATATTGTTTTTTATAATGCAGAAGAAAGTTCAACTTCCAAGAATAAATTAGAGCACTTAAAACAATTAGAATTGTTCAAGAATTTGATTTGAGTTCTTAACATTATGGTGAGCGTCAATGAACGAGATAACAACTCTATTGCTCAAGAAGAATATGAAGTTACAGATATATTATAAATGACTACTGGGTGTCAATATTCATGCAAGTTCTTCGAAGAAAAAGTATCAATTAAATGATATTTAAATATTCATAATGTTGACTCAATTGATCAAACTCAAAGGGCATTGACCTGAGATCAGTCTTGCTTTCTCTCAATTGATTAAGGGTCTTAGTAAGTCATAACCATTGGACTATCTTGCCTATGATGTTGAGTTGTAAGTTACGCATTTATTGGCTATCCCAAATTTAAGGTAACAATACTCGTGATGAATTATTCTTAAACTTAGGTTTGTATTGTAAGTCCTATTTCGTTTAATATTTTGAACAAATAAAGTCATTAATTTTGATACTCCTATTGAAGTTACTGAATTATTGGACTATTCGATGGCTATAAGTGCCATTTTTCCCAGTCTATTGGACCGATATAAAGCCATTAAGCCCATGAAATAAAAAAAAGAAAATTGAAAAATGTGAGCTATCTTGCATACAAGAAAGGGTCGTGAGGTTCACGTTTTGGTTGACTCTAATATTTGAGTTGTAAGTCTTATATTCAGGTATGCTGAAAGTAGAGGTTGTAAGTTGGCATCGTCTTCTAGGCAATACCTAGATGGAGCAGCAAATCCCATCCAAATTAAATTTTATCTTCCAATAGAACGCCCCAAGCCAACCATTTTTGGTTTGCTTAAGGCTAATAAACCTATTGATCGAAACTCCTGCTTTCCAATAGATATAAGCCCCAAACCCAACAGGTTAGCTTCTATTTGAATGAGCTCATCAATCAATTAAAATCAAAACTCATATAGTCCTTTCAGTTTCCTTATGATACCTAGGCTGAGGCAACCATAGTTGCCAATTTAGCAGTCTAGGATTTTTGGGATTCCAGAGCCATGAGATCTTGATAATGTCTACCTTCATTATCCTACCATACCCTACCCTCTCAATTTAATTGAAATGCAAATATGGACACACTGACAAAACTTAAAAACAATAAAAATTAAAACAGTTGAAGATATTGATTAATGCCAATAGTGCAGGTTGTATTCTCGACCTAGGCATTTAACTGTTGTTCTTATACATGCTATTAAACAAGGTGCTTCTAGCTATTATTTTCTTTCTAAATGTAAAATTACTATTTTATCTATTTATCCCGTAGTTAAATAAAATTCCAAGAGTCGTCATCAGCAAAAATGTATATTAGTTAGAAAGAAAATTAGGCTAAATTAGCATGCCAAGGCTATAACCATTGTTAAGAAAATTTAAGTTGCATTTTTTTTTTTTTACATTAGCAGTTACTACAATTGAATAATAGTGTGGTTTGTTGAATTGCGGATATTAATCTTTATAAAATCGAATGGTTGTAAAACCTGATTTAACTTTATACTGGTGCAATTACAATAATAATTTATCTTAGCTGTCTTCCTGGATGTCTGTGATTGAAATTATTAGGATTGATGGAGTCTTTCTACCATTAGTGAGGAAGTTATGTAAGTTCGCACATGGAATTTGCTGGCCACTACAGTCATAAAATGAGCCTTATTTCTTTGAGCAACGTAAATCATAGCACTGCTCTTTTGGATTGGAACTTCTTGCTAATACGGTTAGAGGCGAAAGAAATGTTTGGATCCTTAGCAAGTAGGACATTCTAAAGGTATGCAGCGATCTCACTTCTGACTATTATGATGCTTTCTGAGTTTGTTTTGTCCATGTAGTTTTGATTGATATTTAAATGTAAGAGTATTAATTTAAATATCATTTAATTTAGATAAGAAGTCAATTATTATGTAGTGCTGGGATGTAGTGCTGTTTCCCCCTCACCCAAAAAAAAAAAAAAAATTTATAGGTTGACCCTCGTTTCCTTAGAAGTGTCTTGTTTCATCCAGCTTGTATTTTTTCCGGTTGTTACTTGCATGGAGCAATAATTATGTTGTCTTCTCAAGAAAGATAAATGTATGTAAATGTTCTAGAATGGCTGTTTAATATTTAAACAAAAAATTCAATTAGGATCGGAGACAGGATTAAACTAATGTAAGGGTCTACCAAATATAATATGGATTATGTCTATGAATAGAAAATTACATTAGATATGATCCCCATAAATACTCATCTTAATTGGAGCAAACAATTATAATTCAATCGTAGAGATGTGTCATTAACCCAACTGGCATGAAATAACTCGGTGAGATTCAAGTTTTTTGTTTGTCTGAATAAGGGAACTAGCGGATGTAGCATTAGTTGCACTCGCACGATAATAATTTTGTATCTCTTCTCATTAGAAGTGTCTATCAAATAAAAAAAAAAATATTAAATTGATACTAATCTTCAAAAAATAGTTTAGCCACTCGAAGGCATCTTATAATAGCTATGAGTGTATCATCTAAATCAACGTTATTTTTTAAAAGAGGTTGATCTTCCAAAAATTTCTCATAATTTTTTATATTCAAGAGATTCAATCTCTTCTAAAAATAAAACTTTTATTATACAATGGCTCGACATGTGATTATTTCGTGAGTTCTGGGAGAGTTTTGGGTTGTTAAGTTCTAGTGGATGATGATATATTTGAGGCCGGGACAGATGATATAGCAATCGATTTATATGTGAATGTTGAATACGATGAGCTCTTAGGTTTTGTAGAGGGGATAACTTTCTTCTATTTTCTCTATCATTATGGAAAAGTGAAAGCAATTTTTATAGTTTAGGGATCCTATAATTCAATATTACTTCTAATTTCATGTCAAAGTCTAACGAAAAATTCATTGGTCAAGTTGTTAATTAGGGTTGATGCAATTTGTCCTTACTACTTATAAGCATTCATATAGTTAGTCATATGTATTATTTCTTGTTTGAGTGTCAGTTAGTTATATAGATATTTGTTTTTAAATGCAGGATAGTATTTGGCATATAAAAGTTCTTTAATCCCAACATAAGTCTATTGGTTTCTATAATTCCCAAGTTTTTTTTATTAAGATGTTGGTTGGATAAATTTTAATATGCCTTATAAGTTTGATCTTGTTAAAATTTGTTCACTAATAATCATTTATATTATACCCGTAAAAAAATCCTTCATTTTAGTTGCGACCAATCTTAAAATTTGTTGGGATCATGGATTCCATCAAAATTTGGATCTTTAACTTTTATTTTGAAGCAAGGATCATTGATAATTATAGTCTTATCTAATTTATTTCATCATACTAGTAGTCTTTTAAACTAATCAACTCTAGTTTAAGGCTCAGGTGAGGTCTGGAATTTAATAATAAAGTTATGTAGTATACCTTGAGAAATTATTTACAGTATTTAAAACATATTTTAAAACATTTTAACAATTTCATTAATAGCATTGAATTTTTCTTTCTACAATTTGGTGAATGTTATTTACAGTATTTTAAAATTCTTCTACTCAATCTAAGGTGATAGCTTTTAGAGATATATCAATATGCGGGGTTTAGTAACTATATTTTAGTAAGAAATTAGAGAAAGGTAAGAGGGATATGTTTTAGATAGATAGAGAGAGATTATGTGTGTAATTAAGATGAAATTGAGGCCAACATATTTTTCAAAAGGAAAGGGTGCACGACCACTTAATTCTGAAGCTCTATTTAGATAGTTTTGATCTTTTTTGTGAATGTTTTATTTATCCTAAAACAATGAAATATTAGCTTAATATATTCTAATGCATGCAAAAAGAAAAAAAATTATGAATTTAGTAAAAGAAAGAAACCCTCTTAAAAAGAAATAAATGCAAAAAGCTTACAAAGTCTAAATAATCATCTCATAAAAATAAATTTAAGCTAACTTATTTTAATTCCAGTTAAAGAAAGTTATGGCTTTTATATATGGTTATGTTATTAAATGAGTTTACGGGACGTTCAAACAAAGGTTATGTTAGATATTTTGTGGTGGCGATAATAATTTGGAAAAACAAATTCCAATAGGGTTGCCAAAGAACATTTAGTTTTCTTGTTTATCTTGGATAACTTTCAATAAGGAGATTTAAAGTTTTATGTTAGAAATAATAGCCCTTTTTAAGAAATAAATCTTAGTTGCAATGTCCCTCAAATTATTTTTGTCTTAAAAAAATAAATACTGCCATATATATTTTTTATTTCTATTGTAGGTGATGTGTATCTTCAAGCTCCTTGAACTTCTCTTTCATAGAGTCCTTAGATCTATTACGAATATGATTTAGGGTCTAAATGATCCTTATGGTGAATGTAAGAACGCGATTAGTGTCCTATTAGGGTGGTGGTGAAAGGGTTATTTGAATTGTGGTGAAATGTATATTTAGGGATTAGATAAATTTGACATTGAAATTAATAAGCTATCGAAGGGAAAGTTTTGCTTGGAAGAAAATAGAGAGGAAATTCAAGTCAAAGTTTTAGGAGGGAGCTAATGGCCATATTTTTATGGGGTTTGGATTAGTTAATAAAGAGGTATAATATTTTAATTCTATTGCTTATAATAAAAAAAGCATATCTCTATGTTAGGATTTTGATTAATGTGTCATAGGATTATTGAGAAGTTGAGTGCCTCAGAAGTTAATGAGAGATGTGGGGAGTATTTAACGGAGGTTTGAAGGGATTTGACATGTTTTGGAGTTGAGAGAACTTAAGCGTAAGGATATTTAGTGGAAATGAGAATTGTGATGGGAAATAGGAAGAATAACGCTGAGAAAAAATAAATATGGACTAATGGAATCCCTAGGGGGTTAATCAATAAGCTTTACTAAAGAGTAAAGTGACTACAAGAAAACTCTTCACATGAAATTTGCTCAAGCAAAAAATAAAAAAAAAATAAATAAAAAAAATCAATTAATGAAAAAGTATAAAATAAGATTTTATTTATAGGCATAGTTAAATTTAGATAACTTTGAAAAGTCTTAGAAGCTAATAAAATATTATTACATTGATTGATAACTTGTCTTGATATAAAGAGGAAGAGAATAAGATAAATACACTAAAATTGAAACTTCTAAGTATATGAAATTTTGAATTGAGCAAATAAGTTAAGTAGAACGATCTTGAAATCAAGTAATTTTTAAAGATTTTTTACTGAATAATTTATGTCCCATCAACCCATCATAAGACCTTTAATTAAGCTTGTTAATTATCTTTCCACGATTTTAAGGAGAATATGTGTTAACCATGGGCTTTCATTGAGAGTTATGCATAATGAACAACCTAAATCTTAATGTATTGACTTATATCAATTAATCTATGGCTTAATAATCTAAATCTTACGGAAGAGATTTAGCTCATTGATTGGACTATTTTGTTAAATAGAGAGAGAGAGAGAGAGAGAGAGAGAGAGAGAGAGAGAGAGAGAGAGAGAGAGAAGAAGAAGAAGAAGAAGAAGATTGCACTAGGGATGGCTAGAGTTAAAACTACTTGAAGAGAATTGATTTGAACTAAATTTATAATTTTAGATTTGAAAGATTAATATATTCTTCTTAAGTTTATCTATAAATCTAGAAAAATATTATATTCATTTTAAAGCTATATATTATTCAACCTATGCTTGGGTTAGAGTAGGATTTCCATTTAAGCTAAGCTAGGAGAGAACTTATAAAATTTTCTAAAAGGAACAGAATGAAATTTATATTAACGAGGAGTGCTTGAGACACTTCTAGGAGTAATCTAACAGCAAGGGTAATGGTTCAAGCTTATATGAGTGAGGCTGAGAATGGTAATCTCAAACTCATCTTTAAGTTAAATTGGAATTAGTAATAGGGAGTTAAAAATTTCAATGTCAGCACTCATCTCAAAGGAAGATTAAAGCTAAACACTTCAAATTAACCCTTCATTATTAAGTAACAAAAGAATCCTCTTATTATTCCCATTGGGAAAAAAATAAAATTTTGTTGTTCGACTATTAAAATGCCAGAGTAGATATAAAAATTACATGTCACAAACTCAATATTAAATAAATTTAGGGCTCACTACATTAAAGTGATGATAAGAGAAAATTTGTTAAGTCCAAATTACATATTTTATGATAATTGTGCTTTTTTATCCTTATCTTTTGTGCAGGAAAAATTTAAAAAATCATAAAATTGAATCAGCACCACAAAACTACATAAGCAATGCCATAGTGCCATATCTTTCCATAGCACCTGAGTGCCTCCACTTTAGCGTCGTAGTGGAGGATCTCACAAAATTTGTAGTAGAGCTTAGCGCTGAGGCCCTATCTAGGAAGGTTATGTTAAGAAAAATTGTGTTACTATTTATTGTATAAATTTTGAGAGAAAATGTGCATTTAAGTTGATGTTGTGTAGAAAAATTTCTAGATAAAGACAAGAAATTTTAAAGTCTATACCAACATTGCAATGCCTAATTATTAGTATCGTTGGTCCTTTAATGCATGGACGTCAGATCAGAGAATTATGATGCTTTACGTTCTTTCCTTTTCCTAATTAATTTAGTGTCCTAGCGAAACATCATCTAGCTCCATAGAACTATTAACGACCACAAAAGGAAAATTGTTGTACTATGCATTATGTAATTTTTTACAAATAAGTTATTGCCTTATCACTGACATATGGAGCACTGTAGTGCTGAATCATGTGTTTGAGCGCCACGACACCAAATTTCCTGCAGTGCCTCGTTGCCAAATTGCTTGCAGTGTTATGATGCCAAATCGCATGTAGCACTGTGAAATTGAGGTTAATAAAAGTTTATTGGGAATATCGTGTGAGTTAGCCCAACATTACGACACTTGAGTTAGTTTATATGTATTAAGTATAAATAGTTCTCTTTTTGTTTTGTTGAGGGCTGGTCATCCTTTTATTGTTGAAAATAGTAGAAGGAGAGGGAGATAAGGTAGAGAGTGATTGTGTGTGTAAGGGAATTCACTCTAGGAAGTATATATTATTTGGAAGTTATTGTAAAAGCTATTCTAGATTTTATTTTCTCCACTAATACTCTTGTAATTTTTTATGATATTTGAA